CACCAAATCCAAGTTGTCAAAGGTAAAAATCATTTAGAGAATCCTCTTATATAGATGTGTGTGTGTCTAAACAAATTCACATAGGTGTTAGTATTCTTAATCTAGGGTCTTGCCGAAGAGTTGGGTAAAGAGGGTGCATGTGAGAAAGCAATCTTCCCAGACACAAATATTGTCATCACAAGATGCGCTATGATTGGTAACTTGACAGTTGAAGGAGTAAGTGAAATCTCTCTCTTTGTTCTATACCATTGTGTCAAAGATCTATTGTCAAATCAAATGAAGGTTTTAAGTTTTCACTGTTGTCAATGGTGGCTATCACAGGGTGACCGTTGCAATCTTGATCTTGTACCCGGATGCACTGATCCAAGCTCGCCTTTCTTCGACCCACTAGCCAATGTGGATGATGGATCCTGTCCACTTGATGCCGATTCTGAGGATTAGTATCACCAAATCAACATCCCCGGCCTCAATGGAATTCCCAGGTTGCTTCTTGATACTGTCAATAGCTCATCCGGCTTACGCATACACGTTACACTGTCATTGCTTAAAATGGGTTGTATCAAATCCTAGTCATAGTTGCTGGTTCCTTTAATGTATATACAATCTGCTTGCCATTTATATTAGTAAATCTTATATCTGTTAAGGCACTTCCCCAAAATAAGTCTTGGTACTTGAAGTTCAAAGTTCAGTTTTGGTCTGAGACAGCCAAAGCGGTTTGGTATTAGTACGTCAATTCAGGTGGTAAACTGATGAGGAACTTACCAGACCCACGATGGACATGAACCCGAAATACTATTTAAACGCGACAAGAACCAAACAAGACGGACCTATTGTGAGCCCTACTTTCATTAGTGTTAGGCAGGAGAAAATTGATGAAAATTAAGCTGATATTATGCCCAGGGTGCTTTGTAGTCTACTTGTTCCCTCACATTTAGAAGCAAATTGATGAAATTCTGTTCAAAGAGAGAACAACAGTTAACACCAACAACATCAAAACTCAGTTTCTTTTTATAGACATATCACCCTACAAGGACTCAAGACAGCAATGAGACCCTCATCACTCTGATAATATCTGTGAGAGCAACAACCCCAACTAGGTGACCCAGGTGATCAATAACCCAAATTCGGTGCACATGCTTGGTAAGGGCCTTTTCAATGGCTTCCGCGAGGCATGATTCAGCATGGCAAGTCACGAGTTCCCTCGATGACACTGCCGTGTCTGAAGCTGCAGGCAATGGACTTGTCGAGTGTTTTTCTTTGAAGTCTAAAACGCTTAAAGGCAACCAGAATTGCAGCTGAGAAATAGGGCAGCCTCTTAGATCAGTTGCAGAAAATGTCCCCACAAGCTTTCTACCTTTTCCCTGTAAAATATATGCGTAATTTCGATCAAGTTCCGGCTGCGGAAGCAGCAATTAACAAAATTGGAGAATTTTTGCTCAGTGATGTATGTTAACTACGGCTAGCATGATCAAGCAAAATGAGTATGATTTCATAAGGAAGGGAAATGCTCTGCCAAAAAAATTTACGTTTACAAGCTGCCCGTGATCCTCTTCAATGGCACTTGAAGCTTCAACAATTGGTACAGCACTAAGTGAGGCAGCTCTCATACATTTAATGGCTTCAATAACTTTGGTGCGGTTAGTTACTCCAAAAACGCTCTTTGTCACTGCTCCAAGTTCTTCGACATTGTGTGACATGATACCTTTCAGCTCAGAGTCGTGTGCCTTTAAGAACCTCAAGAGATCCACTTGTGTTAGCATCTGGTAACTTGGTGCAGATTCTACTAGCTCGACTCCAGCTATATTTTGCATGTGGCTGCCCAGTGGTACAAGAGCACGATGGATCCCTTTGCTAAACACTTCCATACAGTCAAGTGTGCTGCACATACATCAGGTTAGGTTCAACATGTCAATATGGAAATAAGACCTCAAAGTTCTTTAATGTTTATTCTCTTCAGCCCCTGCCCACTCCTCCCCTCCCCTTTTAATTGAATATTTCTGGGACTGGGAGGGGGAGGGGGAGGGGGAGGGGGAAGCGGGTTGACTATGCCAAAGCCCTACATAGAGACACAAATTGCTCATGTAGTTGATTGTTCCAATACTTTTTGACTTCAATTTCTTTTTTGACGGATCATCTATCATGAAAATACATAATTCACTTATATACAATAGATTCTACTTAAATATATAGTAGGTGATTGGTCAAAAAGAGAATTAAAAGAGAAAATATATTAAGAGGAAATCTCACTCTTTCAGAAACTACATGAGCAATTGTCATTGGAGCATCGGATTTTATGGTAATTTTAACTTTTAAAAGCACGAGAGAAAAACATATTGACTAGTAATTGTGAGACTCCAATTCTTGACTGATTCGGATCTGATCATAGAAAAAATTCTCTTTATGTAAACTAAGGGTGCAACTTGGGTTGGGCAACCCGATTTCAACCCGAAAAAATTAGGGTTTGGGCAAGAGTTTTTAATACTTGGGTTGGACTGGAGTCAAAAAATTTCAACCCAAATTCAATTTGGGTTGGGCTCGGGTTAAGGCCTCGTAAACCCAAGTTCAACCCGAATCTAACAAATTAAAAAAAAAATTATATATATATAAAACATTAGCACTGATTTTTCATTTTTATTTTATCGTTCTCTGTCTCTCTCGTTTTCTTTGCTTCTTTCGCTAAAAACTTGGTTGAAGTTATTGACTGTTAATTTAGGTGAATATTATGTATTAGGTTTAGAACAACAAATTTATTTTGGGCTCTACCCGAATTGAATCCGTAAAGTAATCCAAAATCATCAATCCGAATTAAACTCGAGCCTACTTGAATTAAACTCGAACAGTGCTCAGTTTGAGGGTTAGGATTAGAGTTAAAGTTGAAGATTATATATCTAGGGTTAAGTTAGGGTTCATTGTCTAATCCGTCCAACTCGCCCGAGTTGCACCCCTAATATAAACTAGCTTGTCCTTTGTATGGGGCTACACGAGGGTTGGAACAAGGATGCATTTGATTGTGAATTCTAATGTGGCAGACAAATATTTGCACAGACCAATCAATAGTTTAAGTCGCACACTCCCATAATTCATTTTTTCTTCGGAGAATTTCCTTCAACTAGTGTTGACAATAGACCGGAAGACCAAGCTCGCACTGCCTATATGTCAAGTGACACTGATAATCAATTTTTAGAAATTTTTGTATTTCACCAATTCAACTTACTACTTTAAATTAGGGTGTAACTTCGAGGAGTTGAGGGATCAACCCTAGTCTTACTACCCGATGTCCAAGTCGCACTCGTACTTTAAACTATCCAATCGGTTTGTGCAATGGACCAATTTGACTAGCTTAACTAAAGGGTCATTAACGGGCCAAGCTTAGAAGACCAAAATCCACATCCCATAATCCTATCTGTTTTGGTGGGCCGGATAGCCCCATGAACTATCGGGCCATCACTCAACTGAGAAACCTAGTTTGCGTTGTAATCACGTTCATCACCGTCAAAGATTATAATCCCCAACCGTGTTCTCATCAACAACCCAAAAAAGTAAAAAAAAATCTTTTTTTGATCGGAGAGACGGCGACCAGGTTCGAAACCGTCGCTTAAGTCCAACAGTGGGGCATAGCAACGGTTCTTGAGAGATGTTTTTGTTACCGTATGTTTTAAAAATGTAATGGCATGATATGACTGAAAATAATCAAATGAAAATGAAAATAAAAGTTCCCATACACAAAACCAAGTACAGAACCTAAAAAAGAGTAAACAAACAGAACCTGCCTAGTATTGGGGTTTAGCGTCCACAAACTGAGACTTTCAAGACAATGCCCAATAATCGACGACACCGGAACCGACATCCTCCGGTCGAGATCATACCCATCACCACCACCGCCGCCGTCGGCATCATCTCCGGCGATGTGGACCAGTAAGTCCAGCATGGTCACCATCCCTATATAGTGCTTCCTCACAGCACCAGTCTGTTTATCAGACTCCAAGATCATGGAACCACCAGCTCCAATCCAGTGCCCCGGAGGCGCAGCCACTGGCACCGCCAACACCCGGTTGGCCACCAGGGCGTTCATGGTGTGGGCCAACGACGCCGTGTACGGCACCTCCACAAGTCTCTTCTTGTCTGCTATCATGTCCCTCACCTTCTTGTCCCTTACGCTCTGCGTTTCACTACTGCTTTGTGTTCTGATTCTCTTTGGCTCCATAGCTTCCATCGCTGGAGGTTGCATCGTTATTAGAATTTACTTGAAGATAAAAGTGTTCTTTCTGCTAGAGAGAGCTCTATTTTTGGAATTATACGTGTGTGTACGTGTCGAGGCCTCACACTGCATGTCTGTATGTTTTGCCACGTGCGATTTCATCGTTCATCGTCTCGCCGGATAAAAAGCAATGCTATTGAGATTTATTTGTTAACCTAATTTATTATAAAATTTAGATTGATCGTGGTTTCAATAAAGGATTAAAATTTAGCGTTAATTTAATAATTTTATTAAAATTATATTATTAAATTAATAAATTATATCAAATTTTAAGATTAAAATAGCATTATTCTCAAAAAATATTAAATATAAACATTATCTGTCATACAATCGGACATTGAACTGACAAATATATTAGATTAATAGTTTATTGATTTAACAGTTAGGTTAATTGATTGGACCGATAGTATAATAAAAAACAAAAATGTCTCCAATACATACAATTTACTATAATATTACTCCAATATTTTTATTTAGGATAAATTTTATTAACACCCCCTAAAAAATCCCTAATTATAGGGACACCCCTATAATTTCTGAAAATTTTTTATTAGGTGCGAATTTCATTAAGCATTGCTAAGTGATGCATACCATGCACCAGGTAGCTCGTGGAGATCAGCGACCAGGGCTGAAAAACTTGGGCTGTTATGCGGTCCGATTTGTACTTTGATAGGCTCGACTTGAGTCCTAGTAGTTAAGGTACAGTAATTTTAGCCAAAATGTTAGTGGACTGGGGCCGGCCCAACCTAGAAAAAACCTAAACCATATCAATAGCCATGAACCACAGGTTGGGCTATTAGGCAAGACCCCTCACCTATTATTGGACCTGGATCAACGATCTTGTGGTGCAGGCTTGGGCCCTCCAATACCCAATCTGCCAAACGACTCACGATTTGACTAGTGCAACTCAAGCGAGTTGGACAAGTTAATAGATAAATTTGAACTCAACCTTAAGTTATAAAATACTAATTTGAATTGTAACAAAAGTGGCCAAAGAATCAGCATGTTGATTGATAAACCTATTGATATGGGTAAATTCCACATCAATTTCATCACTCACACACAACTTCTATACACCAGATTAAGAAGATGTTAGGAAAATCTTTTTCGATGCGAATGTCTCATCTGTTTGTTGAACCACAAAATTTGAGTCACCTTTTAATTTGTCTTGTTCATGCTTAAATTTTCAAACTCTTAGTCCACATTCAAGTTGAATTCTTTCTTCTTCTTCTTTTTTTTTAGTATCGGGTCACAATTTTGGTTCATTTCAAATTTAATGCTTGGGTTGTAAAACTTGAAGTGAAATTTGAACTAAACCAAACTTATTAATTCGGGTTGGATTTAAATTAGGTCCAAAAAATCCAAGGCCCTAACCTTCGTATTGTCCCTAATTTAAATCGGGTTAGAATTTTGTAACAAATTATTAAAAATTTCTTTCCAAATGTATGTTGAATATTGCAAATTCAAGTCGGATTAAATTGGAATTGTCCCATTACATACCTACCCCAAACCCAATCTGGTTGGCAAGGACCCAATCCAAGTAGCAAAAGGGTAATTCCCGTGACACACATTAATGCACAGAGTCTGTGTTTACTCCTTTTTCTCCCAATCCTCGTGATTTCATAATTAGCTTTCTTCGGTCTATTTCACCAACCTCACTCATGCATTAACTTCCATAGGCTTTTAACACCCAACTCTCACAGCAACCAGCGACTCAAATTCTCTCTTTTTTTCTCAAAATGGCCCTCATTCTCTCACTTCAATGTATATTACTAGTAAATTTTGTGTTCATTCCTCTGGGCATGCCTTTCACAGTCATCATGTCAGACTCCGGCGTCCCGTCCGCCTTGGTCGATGCACCGCAAACTGGGTTTTCAATGAACAAGAATGGAGCCCGAACCGATGCCCATGAACAAGAAGCGGTCTACGACATCATGAGGGCCACAGGAAATGAATGGGCCACTGATATTCCCGACGTTTGTCGTGGCCGGTGGCACGGTATAGAGTGCATGCCGGACAAGGACAATGTCTACCACGTCGTGTCACTATCATTCGGATCTCTATCCGATGACACGACATTCCCTACGTGTGAGCCAAATCAATCTTTCATTTCACCTTCTATCACTAAACTCTCACATATTAGAACTCTTTTTTTCTATCGTTGTTTCAGTTACAACCCACAACCCATCCCAACATTTTTGGCCCGTTTGGGGCCCACTCTACATACCCTAGTTCTTAGGGAGAATGGGCATGTAGGGCCTATACCAACTGAACTTGGCAATCTGACCCGTTTAAAAGTCCTTGATCTTCATAAAAACAATCTCAACGGTTCAATACCGGCTTCACTGGGTCGGATCACCGGTCTAAGGTCGTTAGACTTGAGCTGCAACAAACTAACCGGTTCAATTCCCACTCTAATTTTCCCTCTTTTGAATGTGCTAGACCTCAACCAAAATCACCTCGTCGGATCAATTCCATCCACCCTTGGAAGCTGTGATTCTCTGATGAAGATTGACTTCAGCCGGAATCGTCTCTCCGGTTCAATATCAGATTCGATCCATGACCTGAAAAATTTAATTCTCATGGATTTAAGCTATAACAGCCTCTCCGATCCACTTCCAGTATCTCTCAAAAGCTTGACTTCTCTCCAAGCTTTGATTCTCAATGGCAATTCAATGGTGTCCTCAACAATTCCAAGTGATGGGTTTGATGGCTTGAAAGATCTAATGATCTTAGTTCTCTCAGACATGAACTTGCAAGGACCCATACCTGAATCACTAGCCCGATTACCGAACCTTCGTGTCCTTCATCTTGATAGGAATAATTTGAATGGTTCAATTCCAGCAAGCTTTCGAGAACTGAACAACCTTAGTGAGTTTAGACTCAATAATAATCGTCTAAGCGGGCGTGTACCATTTAGGAGAGAAATGGTTTGGAGAATGAGAAGTAAACTAAAGCTTCACAACAATGCTGGACTATGCTACGATGCAAGCAATGGTTTTGGAGGTGATCTGGATTCGTTATTCGATTTGGGTATCGAACGCTGTGAGACGGCAAAACCCGGACCAGCAAGAACAGTGCAGCATTTTTCCACAGTTAATGGAAATATCACAAGATCGTCAATGAATAAATCATCTTCAACAGTTCATAAATCTTCACTTTCTGGCAGGTTGCTTTATTTAACCACCCTTCTTCTGTTTATAGTGTCTTTGTTGTGACTGACAGAATCTACAAGTAACTAGGAAGCTTTGTAAAGTCAAATGTTTTGTATCAGAAAAGCAAATTTGAATTTGTTAAATCTACAGATAGTGTTGTATCAGAAAAACTAACTGTAGGAAGATTTCAAGTTTCTATATGAGCATGTTTAGTTGAGGGATTAGGAGATTGGATTGTATTAATTTAATTCCGTGATGATATAATATCAAGTTTCAATTGAATTATAGCAATTCGATATTAATTTTTCATTTATCCTGACTTGATTCACAACTGTCATTTAATAATTAATATTATGTATTAATTAATAGGGTTAATTACACTAGAGATCCTTAAAATATAAAATTTGTCTTATTTTGGATCCCAATATTTCAATTGTATCATTTTGAGTATTAAGTATTAAAAAAATTTTGTATGATATCTCAAACAAACAACGTCTAGATTGTTAATAAGTTTTTATCATAAATGTGTCATATAATACTTAAATATAAACAAAAAATAATTTAAATAACTCTTAACCAAAATTTAGATAACTCTCAACAAAAAAAAGTGTAATATGAGTAGCTTTTGAACAAAATTTGGATAGTTCATATTAAAAAAAAATGTGTAATTTAGGTAATTCTTTGACTAAAATTTGGGTAGAAATTTAGTCAAAAGTTATCTAAATTATTTTTGTTCCCATATTTAGGTACTAGTTATTTCTCATGCTTGAAGACATGGAGTAATAAAAAAAATGTTTAACGATAAACATATTTGTATTCACAACCAAAATCTAATCCTAAACATAGAGGATGGAGAACGAAATTTAAGCACTGATTGTAGTGGTGGTGATGAGAGACAATGATGTTTGTGAATGGTGGCAACGACTGTGGTAGTGGTGGCAACAATGATGGTGGTGATGGGTTTTGGAAAACGATGGTGGTAGTGGTAATCATGGATGACCTTGGTGGTGGTGGTGGTAGGTGGGCGACAGTAATGACAGTTGACAGTAGTAATGGTGGGACGACAACGATGATGGTAGTTGGTAGTGGTGGTGGCCGCTGACGATGGTGATAGTGGGCGACAACAGGTGTTTCTGGGCGACAGTGTGATGGATGGCGGCGAATGCGGTGGTGGTGGTAGATGTGGTGGGAGTGGGTGGTAGTGGCTGGCAGCGATGGTGGACGACGATGTGTTGGTGGGTTGTGGTGGTGGGTGCTAACAATGGGCGACGTTGGTAATGAGATGATGATGATAGTGACAATAAATATAAGAATGAGATGAAAATAGAGGTGAATGGTGGCGATGGACAATGGTAGTAACAATCAGTGGTAGTTGGCGATAGTGGTGGTGGTAGTGGGGCAATGACTATAATGGTGGTGGTTATAGGGTGATGATAACGATAATGGTGATGGTTGTGGGGGGTGGTGATAGGGGTGATGGTAAAACGGTGGTGGTGGTAGTAGGGTGGCGGCAACGATGGTGATGGTGATGGTGATGGTGGTGATAGGGGTGGTGACAGCGTGGAGGTGGTGATGGCGGCTACGATAGTGAGGTCGCGATGATGGTGATAGCGACGACATTGGTGGTGGTAGGGGGTGGTGGTTTGGTGGTGACAGTAATGATGGTGGTGGTAGTGGGGGGTGACGGTGGTGGTAGGACGATTGCAAACACTATTTTTTTTAAAACACTTATGAGAAGTAATTAGTCTTAGAAACAGTTTTAAAAAATCACCTTAAACACACTCTTAGAACCCTACTTGCCCTATTAAATTTGACGTATTAATATTAGCCATCAGATTAACTTTAAAATAAAATTTAAATAGATCTCAACCGCGAAAAGTAAAAATTATTTTGTTTATCTTTTGATATTTGAATTGTATTGTACTTTATTATATAAATCATGTGATAAGTTTATGATAAAAAATCGTTAACAATCTGCACGCTGTCTACTTGAAAGATCATATAGAAATATATTCAATAGGGACCAAAATGATACAATTGAAATATTGGGGACCAAAATAAGACAAATCTCATTCTTGGGGACCTCCATTTCAATTAACTCTAATTAATATCATTTAGTAGGTGATATTATTTTTAACAGGTTTAGAATTAAAAGCACATTGATGTTATTATTCTTGTAATCCTAGATTCTCACCCTCATATAAAAACTACACATTGTACAAACTCTTGCCCTTAGTGTTTGTTTTGTCATTTTTCAATTTAATACCATACACTATTACTTAATCTAAACATAAAATTCCGATATTATGGTTATAAATTTATACCTTATCCCAAACTTAATCAAAATTTGTTATACAAAACATAAGATCAAATAGTACTCATATTAATACCATTTGTATGAATTGAATGAAAATCAATTACTCAATCTCATCCTTTATTTGTGTCTTAACCAAACATGCTGTTGCGCAGGGTATTATTAGCAACCCGTCTAACTACATGAACCAAGTGTTGAAAATTATTTGCTTTAAAGATAGTACTGCTTTACTTTTGTCATCTTTTGGAGAGGGAGGGGGGAGGGGGCGAAGGAGGGGATTTGGGGCTTTTTTTGCTTCTTCCACTACCTAGAAGAAGATGATGCTGTTGAATTAAGTGGCTTGATAGCCTATGGCTAGCAAGAAGACAAAGGGTGGCATTGAATTTCAATAATTGGTGGCTTAAAGTCAAGAGGAAAATGGGATCGAGTGTGAATGCCTGAATCAAGTGCAGTTCAGACTAATCTCCGCATAAATTGCTCTGATTTCTAGATCCGAGCCTTTTTCCATTTCTTTTGCAGTTTTCCTATAAAGGGTGGGGCTCAGGCACTGTTCATTAATCAGAGCTGAGAGTCTTCTTCTACGTGTAAAGCTTGAGATAGTTGAAGCTTAAGAGTTGAGTGATATTGGTATCAATCTGAGTGTTTCAAGTTTGTGTTTTGTTGGAATGAGTACCTGTGAGGTTTGTAATAATTGTTCTTATACTATTGTTTTACACCAAATAATGGAAACATCCGATCATTGTTGTCGTGAACATAGGCAATAGCCGAACTATGTAAATTATTTTGTCTTGTGTGATTGTTCTTTTATTTTTTCAGTTGAGTGTAAATATCAATATCGGTCCAAATTCGATCCCCGGAGTATTTTCCGCAACACATGAATTCTCCAATGTGGTGCATTTGAGTGGAATGGGCCACTACTGTAAAACTCCCTGATATGTTAGGGTTGATATGTTTAACCTGTAACCCATAAATCCTACTGTAAACCTCTTTTCTCTCTCAACCGAAAACAATTAATAGCAGCCCACCATTGATTCTATGTCAAGTCGTTTTGAGAACTAATCAACCTTGATCCATTGATTCTATCTCAAGGCTGTGACCTGTTAACATGTCCTAATAATTGGAACAGTCAACAGCAAAAGCTCCACAAAAGGTTGAACCATTCCTCTCACCCTAGACACAACTTGGGCCATATTTTGGGTAGGTGGGTCTAGTTTTGGGCTTTAAAACCTCAAGATGAGATGCCTAATGTTCCTTACCAAGGAAGACAACGGGGGCGGGGGGGAGCATACGTAATGTAAAAAGGCTTAAATAAATAAGAGGGGCCAATGTGTCAGCTAGAAAATTTGGAACACACCAATCAAAATTTGTCTACTACTAACTAATCTGGCATTCTACTTGGACATGAATAATTGTTAGGCGTACCAACTAAGGAAACATGGACCACCATGCGCACTGCAAGAGCTCTACTTTCCTAATTTTGAAAGTTGGTTAATTGTATTGGAGGTCTTTAAAAAAAAAAAATTGTATCGGAGGTTTTCAAAGCATGAAGTTTGTTTTATTTTGGTTCCTAATATTTCAATTACATTGTTTTAGTCTCTAAAATATTGAATATATTTTTTTATGATCTCTCAAGCAGACAAGTTTCAGATTGTTAACGATTTTTTTTTTATCATAAACTTGTTACGTAATACCTAAATAAGGGAAAAAAAAATTTTGGATAACTCTTGACCAAATTTTTACTTAAATTTTGATTAAAGAACTACCTAAATTACACAATTTTAATCGTGCGCTATTCAAATTTTGGTCAAGAATTACCCATATTACACATTTTTTTTATCAAGAGTTACCCAAATTTTTGTTAAGAGCTATCCAAATTATTTTTTGTCTATATTTAGATATCACATGAAAAGTTTATAATCAAAATTATTAGCAATCTGGACGATATCTATTTGAGAGACCACATAAAAATATATTTAATATTTCATAGACTAAAATGATGTAATTGAAATATTATAGATCAAAATGAAACAAATCTCATACTTTAAAACCTCTAATGGTTGAAGTTTATAAAAAGCCAACATTTCCTTACAAGAAAATGAAGTTCAACAAATTTAATGATAAACAAATTCATTGAATTGGTTATCCTTAATTTATTCAAAACTATGTCAATTAAAAAGTAAAGAGGTCGATGTAACTAAATAAAATTTTAATTTCTTATGTCCTTCGCGTTAAGGGTTCTTTTATGACCGGAGTTTTTTGCATGCCTCTGTGGGTATTTTTTTTCTCTACTACAAATGAATTATTCTAAATTATATTGGTAATTAATTATAATAATAATTCAACGATGTATACTAAAAAATAAAAATTAACCATCACTGATGAAATTTGATCGAAACTAGTAAAATTTATATTCTCACCTCACAAATTTTCGTTCCTACTCCATTAAATTATAAATCATAAAACTATTAAATTCACTTCATTTGTACTCACTCTACTAATAATTAAGTACAACTCATTATATACCCATCTCATTAACAATTAAACTTGATGGTGTAAATCAACATGGATGAGCAAAAGGTGCAAGTAACGTGAGATGAGCGTGGATCAGAGCTTCAAGGCTCGTGTATGACGCTACAATCAAATATTGAGGGGATTAAAAGGGTGTACACAGTAAAATATAGTGGTTCACCGGCTCGGGAGCTCGGCTAGTCCACTCTTCAATGGAGGTTCTTGCTCCTCTTTTTCTCAATTGATTTTTTGAATGTAATACAAGACAGTGCTAACTGATTAGAGTTTTTCTCTTTTGCTCTCCCTCTCTTACTCTGTCTCTACCTCACGATGAGGCGTTGCATAGTATTTATAAGGCTGTCCCCTATTCCGTGGGATTTTGGTCGAGATCTTTGCCCATTATTCATGGGATCCTCCTTGATTTTAGGAGAGAATCTT